ATCCGCCTGGGCAACCTGGACACGTGCAAACAAGCATCTCGATCGAGACTTCCTCAACACATCCTCATGCTACACATCCGCCTGGGCGACGAGGACGCGTGAAACCAAGCGTCTCGCTCGAGACATCCTCAACAAATCCTGGCTCTAGACCTCTGCCTGGGCAACCTGGAGGCGTGAAACCAAGCGTCTCGCTCGAGACATCCTCAAGACCTGGGCACGTGAAAACAAGCATTTCACTTGAGAGATCCTCTGAATTCTGGTCCCCAGGAGAGGACAATCTATAATACAAAGCAAGCGTTTCGCTCGAGACATCCTCAACAAATTCTGAAAAACAAGCGTTTCGCTCGAGATATCCTCAATCTTTAATTAGCCGGCCCTACGCGACCTCGTTATTTATGGCAAAAGAAATTAGTCGGCCCTACAGCCGTCGAAACCGGGGGGAACCAACTAAAAGAGAACCCTGGGCTCGAGCCCTTTCCGGGAAAAAACATCAACGTGTCGATCAAACTGTTTGGCCTGTGCTGCCTGCAGTGCAGTGGGTGCCGTGTCTGCATTCAGTCCCCGTACGTGGCGCGGCGAGACTTCGCCAATCTAAACTAAAGGTGGAGGAGATGGATGAACTCATTGGAACTTGTGGTGACGATCCCTGTGCAGGTCGGGTGGATGCCGGCTTCTGCCAAGGAGACGAGACCGAATGACTATAGATAACACATGACAAACAACTTATCATATTTACGCATAGAAAGCATGATGGGTATCTGGCGGTACCCAACCAAATTATGAGATCTTGAATGTAACCGCCCATCCTCGCATTGCCGGCAATGGAAGTGGGACGGCTGCTCGAACGCCTTCCTGTTAAACATACAGATGAAGAGACTACGACTAGCATGCAACAATGAAAAACAATCATACACTAAACCATTTCGAGCGTTGATTTCTTTGTTTTTCCCACAGGGCATCTCTGCCAGGTGCGAAGAGACGACGGGGGTGACCGACAACGAACACAAACAACGAGCGAAGATGCCCCGAAATCAGGCTCGCGGACTGCAACTCCTGAAATTCCGGCCCCTGTCCTCTGCCCTCCCGAGCTCCGAAGGCGGGCCGAGTCCATAACTTTCGCTTGACCGAGGTGCGAAGACTGCTCGGCAGGCTGCCGGCACATGTCTTTACACCAGGGCAGCGCGCGCTCGTGCGCGAACGCACGGACGCTGGGCCGCCGAGCAACACCGCACGAGCACGCCGGCTCAGCTCGCTGGCCTGCGTTCCGAGCGGAGCTCGCGCCCGCCTCCCAACGCCCCGGGAAGGCAAACAGGAACCGACAGTGGAGGCCAGTCCACAAGAAACCTTCCGCAAGAAGCCCAACCATGAGACCCCAGAACGCCCATTGAATTCTGGTGGGGGTAAGTCACGCTTTCATTAGAAAAACCATCGAAACCCAAGAAACCCAGGGAACCCTGGAGGCGAGCAGAGTGTTTCTTGGCATGGGTCTCCACTGTACCCCACCTCACCCGTCCTCTAACGTCTCACGTTCCTCTTGTCTCCTGTCTGCCCCTTCTCACACACCCATCCCCCTCTTTGCCAGAGGCGGGGTCGGTTAACCTGTCTGCCCCCCGCAGCCTGAGGGCGTCGTGCGAGCGCAGGAGTTCCCCAGTCGCACCCCGCGTCAGCGCGCGCGCAGGCGCAAAAGCAGTAGCCGGGAGCGGCGTGGGGATGGCTACCCTGCGGTACACAACCAATGTTCAGCGGCGAGCGCGGGGGGGGAGTGAGAAGGAGAAGGCCTTCTCAGAAGGCGGCGGGACTTCTCAGAAGCCTTCGCGCTTTCTGAGAAGTTTTTGGTTTCTAAGGGGAAGGCTTCTCCTTCTCATTTCCCAGAACTTCTCCTGCTCTGGGAAGGCTTCTAGAGAACTTCTCAGAAGGCCGAGGGACTTCCGAGCCTTCTGAGAAGGCCTTCTCCTTCTCATTTCCCCCTGGGCTCGCCGCCGAAATGTGTCAGGTCTTACCGCAGCTGCCCATGTTCGGATGAGGGGCCTGAGGAAGAGTGCCACCCAGCGAAGTATGGCAGCTGCGCGAAGACCCATTCTGCTGACCATGGCGAGAGGGAACCTATGATCAAACACAGCAATAAGGAACAAACAACAAGTCGTGCGTTAAATGCATTCGCGCTTTCATTCTGGTACATCTGGTCCAGAAGCCAGCTCGGCCAGGTGGGACGGGAATACGGGGGTGATCGAAAAAACAACACAGAAAACCTGAGCCCACGTGCCCCCAAATCGGGCTCGCGGTCTGAAACAGCTGAGGTCGGCCGACCCATGCGCTCAGGAGATAGCCTTCCCCCCCATCAACCCCTCCCCCAGGAGGAAGAGAGGGACGAAGAGGACTGCATACAAAAACCCTTGTCCTCCCAAGTTCCCAAGCTCGGCCGAGTCCAGGACTCTCAACCAACCGAGGGGCGAAGCCTGCTCACCAAGCTGCCAGCACATGTCTTCACGTGAGGCCGCGCGCGCGATCATGCGCGAACGCACGAACGCTGGGGCGCTGCCGAAGAACACCGCACGAGCACGCCGGCCCAGCTCGCTGGCCTGCGGGCAGCATGAAATTCGTACCCGACTTCAAGCGTCCTGGGATGGCTAGCAAGGAACCTACCCCACCTCACCCCTCCTCCAACGCCTTCCGGTCCTCTTGTCTGCCTCTTCCCACACCCATCATCCTCTGTGCTCAAGAGGCGGGGTCGGTACCTTGTTCGCCCCCGCATCCCGAGAGCGTTGTGCGAGCGCAGGAGTTCCCGAGTCGCACCCCGCGTAAGCGCGCGCGCATGCGCAGAAGTAGTGGGCGTTGGGCGCTGGCCGACGCAAGACCATACCGAGGGGTAAACCACTTCGCGATTTGAAGGAAAGCATGTTGCATGAGGACAGCTCCGCCAGGTGGGAGAGCGAAGATGATCAAAAGAGCAGACAAAAATTGGGACAACGTGCCCGAAACTGGGCTCGCGTACTGAAACGCCCGAGACAGGCCGACAGAAAAACATCCTGGTTCCTGACGTAGACCTACTGAGGAGCATCCGCCATGTGTTCAGGATATCGCCCCCGACCGAGTCCCTCCTCCAGGAAGAAGAAAATTACAACGAGGACTGTACACATTCCTCCGGCCCCTGTCCTCTGTCCTCTCGAGCTTTCAGGGTCGGCCGAGTCCAGGACTCTCGACCAAACCGAGGGGGCGAAGCCTGCTCGGCAAGTTGCCGGCACACTTCTTTACGTCAGGCCGCGCGCGCTCATGCGCGAACGCACGAACGCTGGGGCGCTGTCGAGGAACACTGCACAAGCACGCCGGCTCAGCTCGCCGGACTGCGGGCAGAACGAGATTCGCACCCGACTCCCAGCATCCTGGGGGGCAAGCAAGAACCTACCCCACCTCACCCGTCCTCCAACGTCTCTACTCCTCTTATCGGCCCCTTCCCAGTCCCGTCTCCTTCTGTGCTCAAGAGGCAGGGAGGGTAACTTGTTCGCCCCCCGCATCCCTAGAGCGTCGTGCAAGCGCAGGAGTTCCTGAGTCGCACCCCGCGTAAGCGCGCGCGCAGGCGCAGAGGCAGTGGCCAGGAGCGGCGGCCAAAGAGGGGATGGATACCTCGTGGTACCCGGCCAAATTCTCACATTCCACCGCAGCTGTCTCTTCCTCGGATGAGGGGTCTGAAGAAGAGTGCTGCCAAGGAAAGAGGGCGAGGACGTGGGGAGCTTCTGAGACCATACCGAGGGACAAGTGACCATGGATTAAACAATACACGCTTGTCAAAAAACGACAACCATGACTTGTGCCACTTCGCGTTTCGACTATGGTATGGTCCAGAGGGTAGCCCTGCCAGGTGGGAAGAGACGACGGGGGTGATCAAAAGCAGACGCAAAAATTGAGCCCACGTGCCCGAAATCGGGCTCGCGGACTGAAACGCCTGAGGTAGAAAATTACAACGAGGACTGTACACATTCCTCCTGCCCCTGTCCTCTGTCCTCCCGAGCTTTCAGGGTCGGCCGAGTCCAGGACTCTCGACCAAACCGAGGGGGCGAAGCCTGCTCGGCAAGTTGCCGGCACACTTCTTTACGTCAGGCCGCGCGCGCGCTCATGCGCGAACGCACGAACGCTGGGGCGCTGTCGAGGAACACTGCACAAGCACGCCGGCTCAGCTCGCCGGACTGCGGGCAGAACGAGATTCGCACCCGACTCCCAGCATCCTGGGGGGCAAGCAAGAACCTACCCCACCTTACCCGTCCTCCAACGTCTCTACTCCTCTTATCGGCCCCTTCCCAGTCCCGTCCCCTTCTGTGCTCAAGAGGCGGGGAGGGTAACTTGTTCGCCCCCCGCATCCCTAGAGCGGCGTGCAAGCGCAGGAGTTCCTGAGTCGCACCCCGCGTAAGCGCGCGCGCAGGCGCAGAAGCAGTGGCCAGGAGCGGCGGCCAAAGAGGGGATGGATACCTCGCGGTACCCGGCCAAATTCTCACATTCCACCGCAGCTGTCTCTTCCTCGGATGAGGGGCCTGAAGAAGAGTGCCGCCAAGGAAAGAGGGCGAGGACGTGGGGAGCTTCTGAGACCATACCGAGGGACAAGTGACCATGGATTAAGCAATACACGCTTGTCAAAAAACGACAACCATGACTTGTGCCACTTCGCGTTTCGACTATGGTATGGTCCAGAGGGTAGCCCTGCCAGGTGGGAAGAGACGACGGGGGTGATCAAAAGCAGACAGAAAAATTGAACCCACGTGCCCGAAATCGGGCTCGCGGAATGAAACGCCTGAGGTAAACCTACTGAGGAGCATCCGCCATGTGATGAGGATATCGCCCCCGACCCAACCTCTCCTCCAGGAAGAAGAAAATTACAACGAGGACTGTACACATTCCTCCTGCCCCTGTCCTCTGTCCTCCCGAGCTTTCAGGGTCGGCCGAGTCCAGGACTCTCGACCAAACCGAGGGGGCGAAGCCTGCTCGGCAAGTTGCCGGCACACTTCTTTACGTCAGGCCGCGCGCGCGCTCATGCGCGAACGCACGAACGCTGGGGCGCTGTCGAGGAACACTGCACAAGCACGCCGGCTCAGCTCGCCGGACTGCGGGCAGAACGAGATTCGCACCCGACTCCCAGCATCCTGGGGGGCAAGCAAGAACCTACCCCACCTTACCCGTCCTCCAACGTCTCTACTCCTCTTATCGGCCCCTTCCCAGTCCCGTCCCCTTCTGTGCTCAAGAGGCGGGGAGGGTAACTTGTTCGCCCCCCGCATCCCTAGAGCGGCGTGCAAGCGCAGGAGTTCCTGAGTCGCACCCCGCGTAAGCGCGCGCGCAGGCGCAGAAGCAGTGGCCAGGAGCGGCGGCCAAAGAGGGGATGGATACCTCGCGGTACCCGGCCAAATTCTCACATTCCACCGCAGCTGTCTCTTCCTCGGATGAGGGGCCTGAAGAAGAGTGCCGCCAAGGAAAGAGGGCGAGGACGTTGGGCCGCTGCGCGAAAACACTTCTGTCCACCATGCCGACGGAGATCCTACAAAAACCGCTTCGAGTTTCGATTCTGGTATGGCCCAGATGGCAGCTCTGCCAGCTGTGAAGGGACGATGGGGGTGATCAACAGCAAGCAACATAGCGAGTCGACGTGTCCCGAAATCGGGCTCGCGGACTGAAGCGCCTGAAGTAAACCTACTGACGAGCATCCGCAATGCGATTAGGATGTCGCCCCCTCCACCCTGGCCCCTCTTCCAGGAGGAAGAGGAAGACGAAGAGGACTGCATATGTTTATAGCCCATGCCCTCCTAAGCTCCCGAGACCGTCCGAGATGATAAGGGCCTTCATCCTACCGAGGGGGCGAAGCCTGCTCGGCAATTTGTAAGCACACCTCTTTACGTCAGGCCGCGCGCGCGCTCATGCGCGAACGCACCGCTGGGGCGCTGCCGAAGAACACTGCACAAGCACGACGGCTAAGCTCGCTGGACTGCGGGCAGATCGAGATTCGCACCCGACTCCCAACATATAACGAGGAGCATAACGAGGTGGCAGACAAGAAACTATCGCACCACTCCCCTGCTGCAGCGCCTCCCGTTCCTCTTGGCTGCGTCCTCTTCCCGCACCCGTCCCGCTATCGATCGCCCCTCCTCTGTGCCGAAGGTAAGATCGGTACAATGGAAGCCAGTCCACAAGAAACCTTCCACAAGAAACCCAACCCTGAGACCCCAGGACGTCCATTGATTGTTGGCGTGGTAGCGTCACGCTTCCCACGGCAAAACCATCGAAACCCAAGAAACCCAGGGCACCTTGGAGGCAAGCAGGGTGTTCCTTGGCATGGATCTCCACTGTAACTTGTTCGGCCCCCACGTCCCAAGAGCGCCGTGAAGGCCCCCCGTTGCTCCCCGCTCACACCCCGCGTAAGTAAGCGCGCGCGCAGGCGCAGGAACACCGCATGGTCTGCGACGTCCAGATGCACAATTGGATCACAGCTTGCACCCCACAGCTTGTATTAGGTCGGGCATGTCCCCCTACATGCGGATTTTGGGCGAAAATGAAAATTGGTCAGAAAAAACTCAAAAATCGTCAAACATAGTCGAAAGATCGTCCACAAACTACGTTGTGACTATTTTTGAATATTCCACCTGTAGAGGGAGATGCCCGACTTAACGCTTGTACCACATAGATTGCAAATCATGCCTATATATACACATCTACGTTGCACCACGTATGTCGCACTAGGTAGACTGCACATCATACACTGCATCCCCAAACAATGCACCGCCTAGAATACACGTCGAGAGTGCAAGTTGGGCTCCACGATGGCATCTGTGTACAAACCGCGTGTTTCATAATAGAGCCTGACCGATACTGAACTCTGCCTGCCTCGTTTTGGGGCGCAGCGTGTCTTCCCTCAAGAGGCCATGTATCTCCATGGGGCCTGGCGAGACAGCGAGGGAAGCATCACTCCAACACTACACCGGCCCATTCACGCCTGGCGGATGCGCGGGGCCGTCCAGAGACATGCGCGAGGGTCCGCATGCCCGACCAGGATCGGGTTTGAGGGGCGCGCGGCATCCCCTGAACAAAAAATTCGGCGAACGACACCCTCGAGCAGGCTCAGCAGGGAGCATCCTATTCAACATTTCGGGCCTTTTGGCTTGCTCGGCGCTAAAGGTGGGCATCGTCTGGGATGCCGACGTCGAAACTCGCCGAGCGATCCTGCATTGCTAAGTCCGCTGGAGCCAAGAGACTCCCTCGCGGACGCTGGGCTGGGAGACTCAGCTGCCAGTGAACTCGAATCTGCGTCTCACAAACAAGCGCTCCTAGGAAAACAGCGCTGCTTCAAAAATGGCATTACCAAACATGTAAAAACTTAGCTGCAAAACCATACAACTCAAACCATTGCACATAGAAAAAACGCGTCAAAGAGCAGAAGTATAAACTGAACGAGCCTGGCACCTGCAGGGACGACCGAGAACTCATCGTGCGGCAGTGCGGGCCCGAAACAGCGAACGGTCATCGTCT